CCTCAGCCTCCCAAAGTGCTGGGATATCAGGTGTGAGCCACGGCACCTGGCCTTACTTTCTCATTTTCAATCATCCTGGATGCAGTCAGCCCTCAAGTGAGAAGTGAGGACTTGGTAGTGGCCTTAGAAGGGCCAGTTGCTTTCTCTATCTTACTCTCAGGAGTAGAAGCTGAGACTAGGTAGAATGGGGGCTCGATAGTGGTTAAGGGAGCTGTCTCTTGCAATGGTCTTGGCAATGAGGTGTCAACTTGGTCTGTGACTGCTGAGGGCAGACCCATTCCATGTGAGTAGACTCTCACATCTGCAATTTCATGCCCAGCCGGTAATTCTCAACTGCTATCCTGAAGTCCTCAGCAAAGCTTGCTGGACTGGATCACCTGCCTCTGCTACCCTATGCAGATGGAGGGGAGGGTCTGAGACTAAGTTTGAGGTAGAGCAGGCCATGGTTTGTGGTGGTAGCTAAGGTGAGTAGACATCCAGATGGCACAGGGGAGCCCTTGAAGGGAGGTGTGGTGGCTGAAGCCAGGAGGCTGGAGGAGGGGATGTGGTCTAGCCAAGGTGGCCTAGAGGGACCTATGTACATGGCTCGGTGAAGATACTTTCTGTGCCCTCATAGACTAGGGACTCAGACCTCTGGAATTTCGCATTAAAGGCAAGTGTCCCACGGCCGGGACATGTGGGCTGTAGAGGACCTACTCGGGTTGGAAGCCCTGTGTGATCTTGAGCTGACCACACCCCCACATACTCTCTCTGGACTTCCTTTTCCTCTCTGGACTGTTGTGACCACATGGGATGACAGGTGGGAAACAGCTTGAAAACAGTCGTCTGTAGACCCAGGCAAGGGGCTAAGTAGTGAATGGGAGAAGGAGCCATGGGGCTCGTGTATCAGGCAGCCTGTGCCAAGGCAGCAGGGCAGGGGCCATGCAGCAACAGGAGTTCATGTCCAGCGGGGAGCGTATACAAACCTCAGAGGGAGGCTAAGGGATGTAAACAAAGGATGGGCCCAGAGGGACAAGTAATGTGGGAAGTATGAGATGTCCCCAGGGAGACCATGCTGGTGGAGGGCCCAGAGGTGTGAGGTGCAGCCCTGAGCATTCTGGGGGTGGATGAAGTGGGGCAGGGTGCACACACATTAGGAATGGACCAGTCACCTTTATCACCTG